CCCACAACACCCAAAACCCCGAAACCCCTAAACCCTAAACCCCTAACCCTAGATCCCTACCCTTATAGTACCCCTTATAGATCCTTTAAGTACCCTCAGACCTCGCAGAAACCCAGTAAGCCTTGTCATCCCGAAACCCTCTTTGCCCTGAGGCCTAACCCCATACACGTCCCATAGGCCCTAAACCTCAACAGCTCCGACCCAGCACTCGAAACGCCCAGGCCCTAACTAATGTAGGGCCCTTAGTAAGTACTTTTTTTTTTTTTTTGTTTTATGGTGGGGGGGCGGGTCCCTAGTCTAATTCTAGTCTAATGGGCTCCAAAACCCATCCTAATCATTGAAAAGCCCCCTATATTAACTACCCCGTAATGCTAAGGAAGCCGCACTATTTGCGAGACTCTTGAGTACCCCGAAGCTCCAAATCCTGGTTTAAGATTTGATGCTTTGGGGTTTAGGCTAAGGGGGTCACTGTACCCTAAACCCTAAACCCGAAGCCCTAAACCCTAACTGTAGGTTCTCAGAGTTTAGGTGTTCATGGTTTCGGCATTAGCAATCCTGAGGACTTCTTGCGGAGGCTCATTGGCAGCATTAGGGTTTAGGGGTTAGGGGTTTAGGGGTTAGGGTGGTTTAGGGTTTAGGGTTTAGGGCCTTCGGGTTCGCTGGTATATATCTCGTAGAACTTTCCGAATGGCCTTGTCTGCCGAGTCAGGCCTCCGTATTGAAAGCACCCACCAAACTTCACTAAACCCTCAATGCAAAAGCCTTTCTGATGTTTAGTCCTCCATCCCAAGAAGCTTTCGAGAGGCTTCACGCTGGCGTTTCCCACAGCACAGGGTGCTAGCGTGGCCCCAGACAACCGGAGCACTGACGTCGACCATGGCTGCTTGGCCAGCTCTTTCTGGTAGCGACAGTAGCAGTACGGGTGATAGCAGGAGGAGGAGTAGTATTAAGCAGGAGCAGGAGTGAGAGTACGCGCAGTCGCAGTGGCGGCAGTAGCAGTCGTCGTACTCGCAGTCGTCGCTGTAATAGTCGTCCTCGTGGAGTAGTAGTAGTAGTAGTAGTAGTAGTAGTAGTAGTAGTAGGAGGAGGAGGAGGAGGAAGAGGAGGAGGAGTAGTAGCAGCAGCAGTAGTAGCAGTAGTAGTCGTCGTCGTCCTCGTGGAGTAGTAGTAGTAGTAGTAGTAGTAGTAGTAGTGGTGGTGGTAGTCGTCGTCGTAGTCGTCGTAGTCGTCGTAGTCGTCGTAGTCGTCGTAGTAGTCGTAGTAGTCGTAGTAGTCGTAGTAGTCGTAGTAGTCGTAGTAGGAGTAGTAGGAGTAGTAGGAGTAGTAGGAGTAGTAGGAGTAGTAGTAGGAGTAGTAGGAGTAGTAGGAGTAGTAGGAGTAGTAGGAGTAGTAGGAGTAGAGTAGTAGTAGGAGTAGGAGTAGGAGTAGGAGTAGGAGTAGGAGGAGGAGGAGGAGGAGTAGGAGTAGGAGTAGGAGTAGGAGTAGGAGTAGGAGTAGGAGTAGGAGTAGGAGTAGGAGTAGGAGCAGGAGTAGGAGTAGGAGTAGGACTAGCAGCAGTAGTAGTAGTAGTAGTAGTAGTAGTAGTAGTAGTAGTAGTAGTAGTAGTAGTCGTAGTAGCAGTAGTAGCAGTGGCGGTAGCAGCAGCACCAGCAGTAGTAGCAATATCAGCAGCAGGAACGGTGGGTGTGGCCGGTGGGGGGCATGGGTGTGGCGGTGGGGTGGCGGTGGTGCTGGTGCTGGTGCGGGGCTTTTGGTACTGCTGCTGCTGCTGGTGCTCTTGTGCTGCTGGTGCTGGTGCTGGTGGCGCTGGTGGTTCTGGTGATGGTAGCAGGAGAAGGAGCAGGGGCAGAAGCAGGAGGCTGTGTTTCAGCAACAGGAGTATTCATTAGGTAACTCGCTGTAGATAACAACGGTGACGAATGCCACCAATTCGCACTAAGCACACTCGTGCGGATGATCACCTAGCATATGCGCATACGTAACTCATGTTAATAGAGTACATGTATCTAGCACTATACATCTTCGAGTGGGTTTTTGTAGCTCCGTACGTATGTGTGGCATGTGTGCGCATGCGTACATACTATACACATGAACAGAGACACGATTGTGCAACTCCCAAGATCGATACCATCACCGGCAGCACGCCACGACAACGACCAGCACCACCACGACGAATGCTACTTACAGCTAAGAGGCGAATTTGGGTATCCCTGCACCGGGAATTTCTTGCTTTAGGGCCCCAAACCCTAAGCCCCAACACCCTACTTCTGCTCGAGACGAGAGTCGGCGGGTTTAGAGGGTCACGGTTTAGAGTTTTTGAGTTTATTTATGGGGTCCTTACTTAGCACTTACGTTGATCCTAAGGTTTAGCGTGCCCATGTGCGGTTTGCTGGAAGTGCCAAATGAAGCTGCTGAATGTCGTGTCGTCCTTGGTTGGTTCGGGGTTTAGTATATAGCAGGATACCTTGCTGCTCTGCTTGCTGTTGCTTTGTGAGGTTGGTGGTGTTCGCCACGCAAAGGCGCTTGTGACGGCAATCACGACACTGGGCATCAAGAACCGAAACCCCAAGTCCTAAAGTTCAGGTCTCGTGAGGCTGTAATATGTACTGAGGACCGAATCGTTAGTGATTGCCGCTGTCGAAATTAATTAAGGTCCTGGTAACATGTGTCCCAAAACCCTGTTGGACTTGTTGGTTCTAAGAGTCAGAGGCTTAGCAGTTTAGGACATACAAAAAATAGATCGAGAAGATTTACCTCAGAGTGGGCTCAGAAACCCGAACCTAAGACCCCCCAATACCCGGGATGTAGGCCCCCCCTAAACCCTAAGCCTCTAAGCTCCAAGCCCAAAGCCCCAAACCCTATTCCCTAAACCGTTGCTCTAGGCCAAAATTTCTTTGCAACAGTACTTAAAGGATCATGGGACTTAGTAAATAGGTTATAAGTGGGGTTATAAGTCCCCTAAGTGGGGTTATCCTAATTAAAACCTACTTATAACCGTACTTACTAAGTCCCATGAGCCTTCAAGTAGGCCAAAACTACTTTGCAACAGTAGTTTCAGGGCTCCGGCTAGCGCTTGTTTTGGGATTCCTCAGATACAAAAGCTTGAACAAATTCCAGTCATACTGTTCCTTAGAACTCCTTCCTAACTCAGTTCGAAGGATCAAAGCCCTTGTGTTATGTTGCCAGGTCTAGTTAAGGTTTAGAGCTAAGGGTGTGGATACTGCCCCCACTCAGGAACAGTTTCATATGGATAGATGAAGCCGTTAATACAACCCTCGTTATAGACTGTTACTGCACGGGGACAGAAGGGTGTCCACTTGGAGGATCCGAGAACCGGGGGCTTCGCAAACTACTGTTTTACGCACACACACACACACATACATATCATGACCCTAATTAGGGTATTTATGACTTCAGCAAATAACAACTTACCCAAAGGGTCCAAGTATCATCCTGGTATATACTTATAGGGCATTTTGGGTGTCTAAGTATATCCCATGATGATACTTGGACCCTTTGGGTTACTAAGTTCTCCGACTCTCCAAGTACAATGCATTTTGCACCTCAGGAGCGACTGCTTGGAGACAAGCCAGTCAGAATGGCGAGCCGTCGCGTCCTCACGCTCGTGGTTCAGGTTTAGGGTTTGGGGGTTTAGGGTTTAGGGGTTTAGGGTTTAGGGTTGTGGCTTCAGGTGGGGACTCTCCTCAAACCCTACACCATAAACAGATCAAGCCCTAAGCCCGAAACCGCATACAACCCTGAACCCCAAATTGCTGTCAATAGTACTGAGAGTAAGGGTGCCAAGGGTTCAAGGTTCAGGGCCTAGGGTTTGTATGTCCAGGATCCTATACTCCCGAAGCGCCCGAGCGTTGATGATATAGAGTCTGCATTACCTTAATGACCCTAGACTATGGGAATCCTGGTATATTCATTACTATGGGTAATGCAGGACCTCTATCATCAACCGTATGCACTTATATACTGTATCAGAAGGTAGGAATGACTATTATATTTATTGTGATTTGTCACTGACATGCGTATATGTGCTTCTGCCTTCTGGTTAGGAATCAGACCAACTTTGTCTCACTACGCAGCTTGACTGCTCAAGGACCGCCTAGCGAGTCCCAGGAAAAGACCGCTTACAGCCTGGGGGTTGTAGGACCTGTCTTCTACCTGAGCGTCAACCTTACGGTTTTTAACTCTGATCATCCTTGCTTTGCCTGCTGCATTGCTTTTTATCTACGATCGGCTGCCTTGGGCTTTGTGACCGAGAGTTGAGTGGAATCCTCCGCTTTTCACAGGTTATCAGCCGTAAGGCCTCCGCATCCGATTGTGGATTGCTGCTTCGCTGCTGCTGCTCGGCACTCGGACCGCCTGATCCAATCAGTGTCTGATCACTACCGTTTTCCTGGCTCAGACCAAGTTCGGAACTTGTGATTGGCCACGCCACCGAGAGAATGGCGACTCCGATCGGTTCTCCCCGTGTCCCCTCGACTGTCGGTTCTTCACTAGTGACGCCAGTTGCTCGAGATGTCGTGGAGCCCGATGATAGTGCCCACGCATCTCGCTGCACTGCACCCGCCTCGCACGCTTCGCTCGCTCGCTCTGCTTCGCTGCTTGCTTCGCCGCCTGCTGAGGACGATCAGAGAGCTCAGCACCATGCGCCGCTTTTGCCATGCTCTGCTGCCGCTTTCGCAACGCCTGGCACGATGCACGCCGGCATGCTGCCTGCTTCTGCCACCGCTCGTGCTTTGCCTTTGTTGCCTGCCTTTTCTGCGTCCGCTGCTCCTGCTGCTTCCGCACCTGCCCTTCTTCCGACCGATTCTTTGTCTTGTCCTCTGTCCCTTCGCGGGGATCCAGAGGGCGCTCGGGCCCTCTTTGGGTCCGGGCCGGACGGCCGTGGTCCACCGATTTCGGACCCGGCGTCCTTTCGTCCACCGCGCCCCGATTCTTATGGGCCGGTGGCAGGCCGCGGTGGAGCCTCGCTCCCCGACGAGCCCATGAGCGAGCACCCGGGTGCACCCCATGTGTCCGTCGCAACGATTACCGCGGCGGATCATGGTGGTGCTGCCCCCGCCACCGATAACGGCGGGAGGCTTCCCGGTCCCTGCGCTGTCAGGGCCCTGGTCGATGAAGCCATTGGGTCGGAAGCATCCGCGCGTATCGCCACCGATATTCTGGCGATCGCGCAGGGTGTGTCCAACACCCAAGCCGACCTCGATATTCTGAGGAACGGCGTCTCGGACATTGCTGAAGCACTTGAAGACAAGATCCGAGAAATGTGGGAGCTTCTACAGGCCGAGATGAGGAAGGAGCGTGAACTACACACGATCTTTCAGGACTCCGTCCGCGAAAGGCGGATTTCGGACCATGAAACTCTTGAAGAGCATTTTGCGAGGCTCAACTCGATGGTCAACGATCGATTCATTGAGTTTGATGAGCGGATCCACCGATTCAACGAAAAGCGTGCTGGATCGATATCCATGCAGCTTGCTGAGACGATCCGCCACATCAAGCATTACCCTGATGCGCTGCAGCAAATTCAGATCAATATCTCAAATGCTGAGGCGCGTATCGCTACGGTTGAGCAGAATGCTACTCACCGTATCGAGGTCATTAGAACCGAAATGAGCCGTGCTCTCTACGATCATAAGGAGAGTAACCGTGTGCTCATCGATCAGCTCACTGCTCGCATTCAGCATCTTGAGAGTTCTCATGTCCGCAGGGGTGGTTCTGACATGTCGACACCTTCGCGTCCGGAACGGACGCAGTTCTTCGACATCAGTGACCATGATGGGGATATCCCACGTCCCGCGGACTTGCCGCCAGTTCCTGGTGCTCTATTCCCTGGCGGACCGACTACAGCCATTCCGAGATCTTCTTTGTTGGGTCCGATTGATCATGGCTCTCCGCCGGGATGCAATGCTGCGCCTGCTGAAAAGGCCTCAACGGTGCACTCTCAGACGAGTGGCATCAATCTTGATGACATTCTGAGGCGCGCGCAGCAACGGGTCGCTGATGATCATCCTCCTGAAAGTCGCGGGCAAAATAATCCTGTTGAGCCCGTCCGACAAAATTATGGCCAAGCGTCTGCCTCTTTTTCAGGAAGATCTCCGATTCCGACCGTTCCGTCCACAAATGCCGCCGGAACGACATCCGGCCAAGCTCCGAGTGTCAGACCCTTCCCTGTCGATGATGATCTGGCCATTCGCAGTGGCGTCCGCTATGACCCTGAAACCCAGAGATTTGCTCCAGAGCCCAAGCGGAGCCCTACATTTCCGTGCCAGATCTCATATGATACGCGAACTGTTCCGGCAGGAAAGGGACCTTCAAGATGGTATGATGCAATGCTTGGCCGATCCAATCTCATTGGCAGCGGTTCTGGTGCACCTGTTCTCCAAAGCGAGACTGGTACCTTCACGCTAGCACCGAGCGCAAGCGTCACTGGGACACTTCGACCTGCTGCCACTGATGATGTCGATGGATGGACTATGCCTCCGATGCCCACCTTTAATGCTAGAACATCCGCCCCTGCACCCAGTGCTGCGCCATCCGGATTAGGCGGACCGCCGCCCGCGCATGGCGGTGACGGTGGTTCTTTCGGTGGTGGTGGCCCCAACGATAACGGGGGTGCATATGGTGGTGGTTTTGGTGGACATGGACACCATGGGTCCGGTTTCCGCCCTGGTGGCGGTGGTGGACCACCCAGTGGCCCGCCCAGTGGCCCGCCCGGTGGTGGTGGCCCTCCTGACGGGAATGGCCCGCCTGATGGTGGACTTGATCCGCCTAGCATCAGGCCCTCCGGCCGGCCGAGTGGGAATGATACTTTCCAGTGCGAGCGCTGCGCCGGAACTTTCCCAACCACCGTGCGGCGATCGTGCATATCTTGCCGATTCTCGTGTTGCAATGGATGTTGCCGAGATCCTTTGAGAATCTGTCTCGTGTGTCTTGAGAGACAGACTGGGAATCCGCCCGGTCCCAACGATACGGGATTCGGTGGACCCAAGGGCGATGGATCGCTGAGCGAGGCTAAGAAGGCGAAATGCAAGTCCTTCCGACTCGATCCCGAGCCGGAGCCCGCTCAGCTGCGGCGCTGGATCGTCGACATGAAGGAGCGAGTTGCAAATGCATTCGCATACGATCCCGGATACGCACTCTCGTGGGTTGAGATTCCCGATGGTACACGATATGAAGACCTTCTTGATGAGTGCAAGTACGGAATGCTTGAGAATGAGTGCAACTCTGCATTCCGCGAGTGTGTAAAATCCATTGCACTAAAGAATAAGATCCAGACCGAAACCGAGCGCATGCATACGATAAATCGGCGACTCGGCAGTAGGCAGATCTTGTGGTTGTTGTATGATTTCCTTCGACCACATGTCACTGGCGATTCGACCTTCAAGCTCGTCGATCTGATGAAGACCACGATTGATCGGTTTACTCATGGATCCGAGCAGGAGAGGCTAGAAGCCTTCTCCAATCGGTGGGATCATGTTCTCGCTGGTATCTCAGTCGATCGTCCCGAGGATCCTGTTCTCTGCGCACTCTTCTATGAGCAGGTACGTGAGTTCCGCTGTCTCGAGCTCGATATGCAGTTGTGGGACAGGGACGTGTCTGTCCGGAACTACGCGTATTTGCGGACTGTCTGCGTCAATGCGATTACAACTTGGCGCCGGCGTCGCAACCAGGAGAAGATGTACACCGCTACTCGATCCACCTCTGCGCAAAGACGGTATGCTGCACCTGCACATGGTAGCCCACGCAGATCCTTCTCAAGAAGCAAGAGGGGATCTAGATCTCCTGGACACCGAGACTCAAGAAGAGGGAGTCCCTACCGAAGGAGCTCGCCGAGGCGCTCGTCGCCCAGACGATCCTCCCCGAGGCGCGGTTCGCCGAGGCGATACTCGCCGCGCAGTCCGGGAAGGGCCGCTCCTGCTCCGACGCGCCCTGCATCACGATCTCCACGAGGGCGGGAAATCTGCTACGATTTCAAGAACGGCAGATGTACGCGAGGAAGCGGTTGTAAGTTCTCTCACAACCTCAAGGGCAGAAGCTCCTCGCCGAAAGGATTCCCGCCTCGATCCCAGTCACCGATATCAAAGGAGTCTGGCATATGCTTCTACTATGCCCGTGGATCTTGCACAAGAGGTGATAAGTGTCCGTATAAGCATGTGAAGCCTGGTGCTCCTGCTGAGAGCACTTCTGTTGTGGCTCCTGCGCCTGCTGAGCCCGTGCCGACATCAAGGCGGGTTGACAGCCCGGCGCCAACGCCCTCGGATTTTTGAGAGGGGCGTGCCGCAACCCTCAGGCAATGACAGCATCCTCCTTTGGAGACTTTGCGTTCGCTTGTGCAGCATCATTCGATATGGCATGTCCGTCAGTCAAGCGGAAGACAGTGTCGTTTGGGAACACTGAGACCCGCGTGATAGAGTCTTCTTTCCCGGAGCCGGCCTTCGGCCCCGTCAATCGCGAGAGGAATTTGAGCTATTCGTGGCCGGAAAATATCCGTGGTTTGAATAGTGCTCGCGAGAGGCGAAGAGCCCATATGAAGGCTGTGCTGTGGCGAGAGCAGGTTTTGCTCGATGACATTGATGCCAAAACGTTAGGAAATGATGCTTGTGTTCTTGAGCTCACGCTTTCTCAGCGGAGCGCTTGCGAAGTCTTTGCTGCTGCTGTCAAGTCTATTAAGAGGGTACGGAGGCTCATGCTTGACTCCGGTTGCGGTATAGACCTTATTGGTCTCGGTGATTTATCCCGTGAGGAAAGGGATTTGATCGTCCAGAATGCAAAGATCAGTCTTCGGACAGCCAACGGGAAGACCAACACCAAGGGTGTCGCGCATATGCGCATCGATGGTCTCGATGAACTGATTGAAGCTTATGTGTTGGAAAGCACGCCAAGTCTCCTTTCCCTTGGGAAACGATGTAAGGAGCTTGGTTATCGATTCATTTGGGAGCCCTTTTGCGATCCGATATTCTTTGATCCGAAAGGGAAACGCCTCAAGGTCGACGTGATCAATAATATTCCCTACCTTGCTCCAAGTGAGACAGAGGTAGTGGCCGGCCGACCTGATCTCCCTCGCGTGTATCCGGCCCTCCCAGCACCGATTATCGTCCACGAGAAGGTCGTTGCAGCTGGTGAGGAGCCTGGCAGCGAATTAGACGCTGTCGGAGAACTTGATCTCGATATGCCTAACGCCAAGAGCGTTCAGAAGAGTGCACCTGACGATAACAAGAAGGTGCCCGACAAGGGTAAGCCTCAGTCGCCGCCTGATGAACCTAGAGCGCGCGATCTGAGAGATGAGGCAAAGTCAATCCGTCATCTCATGACCCATCTCCCAAAGAACCCCTATTGCGATGCCTGCCAACGTGCAAAGATGGAAAATGTTAAATCCTTTCGTCAAGACTCACCGCGCGATAAAGGGTTTGAGAAGTTTGGCGAACACGTTACCATCGATACAATGGTGTTGCATGGGCTCGGCAATCGCGGGAATAATGGGGAGACGGATGCTGTCGTCTTTTACGATCTAGCAACCGAGTGGCTGGAGAGCGTTCCCGTTAAGGGAAGAACGAATGCCGATACGCTCCGAGCATTTCAGCAGGTCTTTGGCGATCTTCGAGATGTGAACTCGTGCTCCATGGATGTGGAGAGGAGGTATGCACCTTCTGCGATTCGGGAAATCTACTGTGATAAAGCCCGTGAGTTCATATCGACCTGCAAGAAAGTCGGCATCTCTGTGAAGCATTCCACGCCGGGAATGCCTCGAACTAATGCCATTGCCGAGAGCAAGGTGAAGCTTGTCCTTCATGGCGCACGTGTGGCGCTACGACAAGCGGGATTGAGCGCCAAATTCTGGCCTTATGCATGCAAGCACTTCTGCCATGCTCGCAACATCGAGTTGCGTGAGGGTCAGAGTGCCTATGCGATGCGATTTAATGGTGTTGAGTTTGACGGTCAGATTCTGCCGTTTGGTTGCCTTGTTGACTTCTATCCTACGCCGGCACGAAAACAGACCCGGCGGAGTCAGAGAGATGAAGTCGTCCTCGGCGATGGTGAGGAGTACGCCGTACCTGCGCCTGGGGCCGACGGACTGATTGATGTCGAAATTGGTTTCGATGACGATGGTTATTTAGAGTGGATTGATGACGGAGACAATGATCAATCTAGCACTCTTCAGGGCGCCGAAGTTGATCAACGCTTGTCGTCTTACCAACGCCCCAGTAAGTTCTCCCCTACGAGTAAGCCTGGTATTTTTCTGGGTTATCATTTTGAGAACGGGGGCAAGTGGGACGGTGACTACATTGTCGCCGATTTGGAAGATTTCAAACGCGATGCGTTGCGCGCGAGCGTCCACCAGGTCAAGAAGATATATTGCTCACCCAAGGAGCGATGGACGTTCCCGATGCTCGCTGTGTACGACAAGCAGACTCGATCAATGTGCATCAACGATCCTGCGATGCAGTCTTGTGCGGCTCAATCTAGTGAGCGCCTTGACGCCTCTGATATGCTCGAACTCGAAGATATCGATGAAATATTTGCCCTCGACGAGCCGACCCGAATGACCGAAGAAGATGTTCGGCGGGCTCGTGAGGCCGAGTTGCGAGCCGAATCTTCTCATGGAGGAGGTGTCGACTACTGGGAATATGATCCATCGAGTCATAAGTGGACTTATCACGTAGTCGTCCCGAGAAAGGCGATGATTCATCCCAGTAAGACTCCCGGATCTCTTGGCGAGTCGCCTGATCCGTGGAAGCTGAGCACAGTGCGTATTTCGCATGTTCAGTATAAGGATAAAAGTCCGGTTACGATCTATGAAACCGGCTATGCCTTCGGCAAAACGAGACTGATGCAACTCTGGACAGGCACTGTCGAATTCTATGATGATGGCTTTGCCCCATCCAAGAAGAAGTTACCTCCTTACCATGGGTCAGAGATCCTGGAGGGCGAGGGGGGTTTGCCTTACCGTCAGAGTGTGCCACGCTCCGAGCGTGTCTACAGAGGGTCTCGAAAACCGAACTCTATCGACTCCTCATCCTGGCGCAGCATGAATCGCGCCGAACGGGAGGGATATGTCGAGGCTGAGCGCCGAGAAGCTGAGTCTCACGCCATGTCCCGAGAGGATTCTCGCGATGCCGCTCCTATCGACATCGCTTTCGATTCCGAATATGAGTCGGGTGCTGAACGGCATGATAAGGATTAAATCACGATGTCGCAGCTGGCACGGTCACCCGATTTCATGTGATCGAGCGCCGAGCGCGCTTTAATCCCACCTCAGTGAAGGACTGTCCTGTCGATCCTGTGACCTTGACAGATGTCAGGATGACTATGGCCATGACCGATGGCACGGAATTTACGTTGCAGGATTCATGGAGATCATCCGATGTGCGATCTCTGCCATGTCGATGGACAGGAAAGACAGTTTTCGTTATCGGTTCTTCTGCCAAAACACAGATCAAGGTTCGAACCAGTCTGCCGAATAACGACGGAACAGAGCGCCGAGTGCAAACAGCGAACGGCTATTATGGCCACGCCTTACGTGCGAAGGGACGTGTTGTAGTCCCTGCTAAATCTCGCGCCTGTGTTGTTACTGACCTTGAATTCGATCCCCCAAGCGGCATGTCGGCCCGCCTTCAGCCGCTTCGCGGTAGTGGCCTCGATATTTGTCCGGCCATGTATACGTACAACGAAGGGGCTACCCAATCCGGGGTCGACGTCCTTAATCCTACCGACACCGATCTTATTGTCGAACCAGGACAGGATGTGGCAGTGGTTCAGTTTTATACTTCCGTGCTAGCCGCAGTTGACCTTGATTTCACAGATGAGGATACCGGGGATGGTACTTCTGCACCGGTAGAGCCCTCCAACGACTGTCTGGATACCGATGCAGCACCTGCGATGTCTATTCGTTCCGATCCTCATTCGCATCGCTCTCCAGACTCTTCGGTGTTCTTTTACAGCGCGTGTGTCGCACGGCCTGTTGATCGAAAAGAACGTGCCGCTAATCCCAAGGCCAAGGCCGCCCTTGATAAGGAGTGGAACAAACTTATCAATCAGGGCTGCTGGGATTACGCCTCCGTGCGTGAATGGCGCGATGTATCTAACGAGGCCATGGCGAAAGGAGAGACGGCCCATGTTGGTCGTATCTTCGATATATGCGTGGAAAAGAACTCCGAGCTTCCAGAATCCGATCCAAATCGAAAATTTAAGGGTCGTGTCGTGTTTGAGGGCTGTCATGTCAAAGATGAAGGCAACAATTGGGCGATTTTCTCCGAGATAACTTCATGCCCCGCGACCATGGAGGCAGGGAAGGCCGCTGATGCTTTCGGTCTCTTGCCCGGTCACGACCTGGAGCGCCCTTTGATACACAAATTTCCGCTCGAAACGCACGCGGGCGCATAACACCGCATACGGGCGCATAATGCCGCATATGGGCACAACACAACCCGCAAAACGAGCGCATAAACCCGCCAATCGAGCGCATATTCCCGCAAACGAGCGCAAACTGATCTGGCACAAATTCGAGCGGAAATAAGTGTATCAAAGGAGGGTCTAGGGAAATACAAGTTGCTGACGGCGAGTCCGCCTACACTCAAGCTAAGCTTGGTGGCCCCGCCACATGGGTGCGACTGCCCAAAGATCGATGGCTGCCCGAATGGCATGGGAAGTATCATGACCCGGTTGTGCGTCTTGTATTGGCCCTTTACGGGCACCCGGATGCCGGTGGGTTCTGGGAACAGCATTGCGAAAAGGCTCTCCGCTCTGTTGGCTTCGAGCAATGCCCTGACTGGAAGAGCGTGTTTCGCCATCCCAAGCTTAACCTTATGCTTGTGGTCTACGTCGATGATTTTAAGCTCAGTGGACCAAAGGCCAATCTGGCCACAGGGTGGGAGCTCATGGCATCAAAGATTAAGTTGGAGCCGCCCTCGAGCATCAAACGTTATTTGGGTTGTGAGCATGTTACTTTCTCTCATGTTGTTCCTAATTCTTTTGATCCGCGCTCCTATTGGACGCGTTTCGAGGAACCCAAGAAGGCATTTCCCGAGCTCACTTTTGGCGATCGTGACACTACTGTCGCTCATGGCTCTGTCGGTCCTCGCGAAATCCGAATGATCAAGTACGATATGCGATCTTTCATGGAGCAATGTGTCTCTCGCTATGTCGAGCTCTGTGGTCCGAAATACAAAGCCACCTTGCGGTCGGCTGACACGCCGTTTCTCGATGAGTCACGACCGGAGTTCGATACTAATCCGGATCGTCCCGAGGTGAACCGTTTGTTGGGCCATCCCACCGATACGCCTATACCTCCTGGTAAGGGCGTTCTCGGTGACTGCGCTGCCGCTGTCCTGATGAAAATCTTGTATGGTGCTCGCATGGGGCGATACGATCTCATCCGTCCTGTGCAGGCACTTGCTAGTCTCATCACCAAGTGGGATGGTTTGTGTGACAAGAAGCTCCATCGTTTGGTGTGTTATATCAACTCCACCCTCGATCTCAATTTATATGGTTGGATTGGTGATGCGCCCGAGATGTTAGAGCTTGTGCTCTATTGCGATGCTGATCTTGCGGGCGACCGCACTGATTCCAAGAGCACGTCTGGTGTCTTCGTGTGTCTTCTTGGCCCGCGTAGCTTTATGCCTCTTAATGCGCTGTCCAAGAAGCAGACTTCTGTGTCAAAGTCTACTCCCGAAGCCGAAATTGTCTCCCTTGATCACGCCGTCTATAAACTGGGATTGCCCGCTCTCTCCATGTGGGAGTATATGTTGGGTCGTCGCTTCCGTTTGCGTGTCATGGAAGACAATGAAGCTGCCATCCGAGTCATTATCACTGGTCACAATCCTAATATGCGTCATATGTCCCGTACCCAGCGTATCGATATTTCTGCGTTGAATGAACGCTACCACGCTGGTGACTTTCTATTTGTGACGTGTCCCTCTCAGTTTGAGGCTGGTGATATCCTGACCAAGGCCTGCACTGATGCCAAAGTGTGGGGTCGCAACCTTATGTCTATTGGTCATTTTCGCAAAGGTACTCTTATTTCCTCTGGTATGCTGTCTGCCGCTCCCGCTCTCTCTGCTCTCCCCTCTGTCTGTCCAACCAGGGGGGTACATCTTGAAACTGGTCACAGTCCCTTCAACGATTTCATCCTCGAAATGTCTCGTCAGGGGGGTATTTCAATTGATGATGCTCACCAATTCGGAGCAGCCATAAAATGTATTCATATCGGAGGCGAAGGCATAAACCGATTCCCTCATGCTCGAAGTATCAACCTCAGTCTCGATGATAATGCAAAGGGGATTGCTAGTTCGAACATCAGGGTTCCGCCTACGCCTGCGGTATGTATTGTTACTGTTCCGATTGCTGGCACCGCTAACAAAAGAGAAGCCGATTTCAAGAGCAGGGGTTGGAAAGAAATGAGGGGCGACCTCAAAGAAAAAGGATGGGAAGCCAAGAAATTACTCGGGTACGCTTCCGCTGCCCGGTCATCTGGAATCCCTGTATTCCTTGTGCTACCGAAGGGAAACCCATTGTGGGGTAGGGAGTACATAAGACGATGGTCTGAATCGCACGAGCTTTGCCCAGTTAAGCTGTGTTCGTGCTCCTCTGGTCGATGTTCTCAGCATGCGTGGATGTGCGAGATTTTCATGCCCGCCCGGTTTGGGCCCATCTTCATGTCACGATTTGCATGCAATCACAAGAAGGCCAAAAGGGTCGACCCGAAAGAGCTTCGATTTGCATTGTGGGCTGTGCTAGAACATTTCATCAATTCTGCGGTTTTTGGCTCACAACAATCCGCGTTGCCGATTGCTTAAACAAAGACGCCAAGGCCATGCACATACTTACACACTCACACTTGACTATAGCTTGCTAGGGAGCTCTAAGGGCAACGATCATGGATCACCTTCATCAACCGACCATCACAGACCACCTCTACTACGACTCAGTCCATAGCCCACTTGCGCTCCCTGCTAGGACAGGTTGTAGCTGCCACGGGCTGCGAATTTCTCCGCGCTGCCGCCGCTGCTGGACGATGGGGGGAAAGAACAAGCAGCCACCGAAGAAGGCTGCCGCCAAGACACCGGCTGCCCGATCACCTCAGCCGAAATCTCCCTCGCCATGCGGGGAAGGCCTTCCGAGCGGCCCGATTGCGCCAACTACGGAAAGGCCTCCTGCTCCGCCGATCCCTACGGAGCAGGACGCCAACATGGGCGCCGATGAAGCCCCAGTCCCGATTCAGACCCCGAGAGATGAGTCTACTGGGGGTGGGAAGCGCTCCGAGGACGTTCCGATAGGATTGAGGATGAAAGCAATGATGCTGAAGATCGGGGTCCAAGAGATCCCACAGGCCTCAATCTGGCAGCGCCTCGAACAGCTGGCATGCAACTCTGGTTTCGACCTAAAGCTGCATCAGCTAGTTGACTCCTTCCTCCTCTCTAATCATCCGCTTGCGGATAAGCAGAGGAAGCAGTATCCCCGAGAGTTTATGGACTTCGTCGATCGATACAGGGTGATGTGCGCTGTTGCATTTTCCCGAGTGGCAACGTTGTCCGGTGACGCCGCAGGGGTCCGCGAGAAAATGGACCTTACGATGGCATTGGCTCGCCACTGTATGCACTTCCAAGCGCAAACCTTTAAGGGGTCTCGAGAGACACTGAGCAACGATACGCTCCGTCTCATGGGAACCTGTTACATTCCGTCGCCTCTTGCGAGTTGGAATCGAAATCTCATGGGATACAGCAGTTCGTCTGCGGAACAGTGATGGTTGAGGACCGATACGAGTATCAAGCACAACGACCTCACCAAGCTGTCGCCCATTGAGTTGTCAAGGGATGTGGTCAACCCGGCTGAAGCCGCGAGGTTCTTCAAGGGATTTCTGCAGCTCAGGCCGACACTTTCTTTCATCCCTGGGGCGTTTCTGGCAATCAAGGCCCTTAACCGATTTCCCACGCTGAATTCTCTGAAAGAGCAAGCGAGTCACCTCGAGAATGATCGCAAGGAACACGGCTACGATCTACCTGCCGTGGATGCGAACGGGATTGGTGAAGTGGCCGCCTTTCGCAACGAAGACGACGATGAGAATAACCCGCTGATGCGCGGGTGGGCCTCGTTCATGAACACGATGGCTGAGGCCTACCCCGGGCGATGCGTCAGCATCGATGATACGCTCAATTGGGGAGCCAGCACCCAAATGACCTACGAGGACGGTGCGTCACAGATCACCATCCGCCCGACTGACGGGTGGGTGTATGTCCCAGCGATGAATTCGGACATATACGATCCTCAGGAGACGTACCTCCACGGAACGAATCTCCGATACCTCTGGTCGATTCTTGCTCACGGAGGCTTGTTCGGAGAGGATTACGTGACGGATGATCATGGAAGTCACGAACCCTGCGTCTGGGTGACTGGACACGCCCCCGAGGCTGCCGGTAGCTATGCATCTGGCACGTACCTCGGCGGAGGCTACTGGTTCCAGGTGATGATCTGCGTCTCCCGAACTATGGTGAACAGCCACAGTCGCACGACAAAGAAGCTGGGGGGATCCCAGAAACAGATCCGCGTAGGAACTCGATTTCTCGAGCTGTGCGGAATCGCGTTCAGGCCCTTCCGCCTCTTGGATGACCGCGAGCAAGGGGTTTCTACTTCCCCAAACTACGTCATCCACGGACACCGATTCCTCAGTGCCGATGGGACGAAAGCCGTGGCCTGGCACCCGTGGATGGAGGCGAGCCCGATCGATCCTCGCATTCTGAAGCTGCTGGGAGACAGTGTCGCGCGCGACAATGTTGAGTTTGCCGACCTAACGATTCAGGGGGGCAACACTACCCAACAGGCTGCATCTACCGAGACGGAGCAGCCTGTGGCGACCGCGGCCGATGATCATGCTGCGGCGAGTGGTGGTGAGGCAACGGAGCGAATCACCGTCAACCCGGTAGTGCTTCGACGCAATCACTGGATGCCCGACTCGTACGGGACGAGTGAGCAAGCCACTGTCGGTGGAAGGTATGCATTGCTATCCGAGCTCCAGTCCTCTAGCTACCGAATCGAGCTGGCTCCTTTCTTTCAGTCGCGTGCACCCATGCTGGGTGAGGAAGGCAGCCAAGGCTTGCCCAAGCCTACAAAGCTCGAGACAATAGCCGGAGGACCCTCCAAAGAGTGGGAGGCATGGTGCAGGCACTACCGAAAAGCATACGGTGCTCTGCTCGGCAACTTCGGCAAGAATATCAAGGGTATCGTATACGATGAAGAAAATACGACGGATATCATTGGCGCGCTTATTTGGAGCCCAGCCGATGCCCTTGTGGCTGTCTCGATTCACGGGATCCGAACGGTCACGACCATGGCATCCACGATTGCATTTGGAGGTGCTCCGCCAACGATCAAGCCGGCAGTACCCAGCAAGCCGCAGAGATTCGTTGTCATGCACGATGGCCTGCTAACCTTCAGATCTGCCAAATCCTGGCACGCTGGTGAGATGAACACCCATCTGAAGAACGCGCTGGCAAGCTTTGGATTCCCTGAGTCCGAAGTTCGGGTACAGGCGTTTGATGAGGGCGAAAAGCTCAAGGAGATGGTAGACACTCTCGAGCTGATGCAGAGTGACCCATCTGTCCCGCCATCGAACGTTCACATCCTCATCCTCTGGAAAGGAGACGAGTTGTGGAAGATGGACCAAGGCTGGAATAAGCTGACTGGTGACATCGATATGGCACGATCACAATACGCCAAAGTGACCGCCCGGGACGCCCTTGAGAAGTATAACACGATCTACGGATCGGTGTCCCTTTGCGGACCAGTGTCACCGAGCATGGGTTTCCTTCCGACTCTTCCTGGCCCTCTCTTCGAGAAATACAGAGAGGAGATGAGGTCGATCTGGGACGAAATCAGGAGGTCCAACTTCCTTTCCCTGTCGTTTGACGCTATCCTGGAAGGACTACCGTACCTGAAAGGATATCACATCATGCATGAGTCCAAAACGATCGGGGTCCTATGTACCCGTATCTGCTCGATGTTTACACTGGCGGCTCTCGCACGATTTCCGTCTTACGCTACACGACGGGAGTATCAGATTGCCCACGATAAGCTGTGGGCGCGCACTCCAGTTCCGGAAGAAAGGTCGACTGGCACGGTGAAGGCCATTGTGCACTCCACAGTGCAGGACCTTATCGAAGGGGCAGATCGCGGCGCTGATCATCGAGCCGCAAAGACCGTTGACATGAGTCAGCTTGGCTTCGATGACGAAGATGAAGAGGAGATGGCTGACGATGCAGGTCCGGCTGCTCCTGAGAATCCGATTAAACAGGAACAGACGTCTTTGGCTGATCTGCCGGGTATTCGTCATCCGGATCCGATTGAGCTGCCCGCTACTCCCGTGCATGGCCAGGCAATGCCGGTATCGCCCGGCCTTGCTCCGGCTGCTGCGAACGATGAAGAGTCTAGCGATAGCTCCGATGGCGACGGACAGCAAGGGGATGGCGATGCAGCGATGCCTGCGGTCAAGAAAGAGGAATCCGATGAGGAGTTTAATGAGCTTCTCGAAGGAATGACTGAAGCATTCGAGAACTTGCCTACTCCCCGGGATGCAGAGCGAACAGTCGCCGCCAATCGGGATGCTGCACGACCACCCGCCGTGCCGGCGATCCCGCTATCTGCGATGAAGAAGCCGAAGCCGTTCAGTGGTGTGGAAGCCGCGGGACCTACTGCCGAGGGTCGCCAAGGCTATGCGCACTTCGAGAGCCAAGTCAGTGAAGCTGAGGCTCGACGTGAACAGGCTGCTAAAATGAAGGCGCATATCGCGGAAGTGGCGAAGGGCGCCACGGGAGTTGAGAATGCCGAACACCTTCGATCCATTGCCGATGGGCTAGCCAGGGTCATGGACCCGAACATAAACGATGACAATGTGTTCCAGGGTGCCATGTATCCTCCGGGTGACTATGCGCTTGACGCTGTCACGAACCGGCTGGCCCAGGGCCGACGCCGAGTTGAGTCGAACAGCAATCTCATCAGGGAGATGGCCAGCGACCGATTTACGCCTGTGCTCATCAACCGAGATACTGGTGAGACTGTGTCCGCCATTGATGCACGGTGGACCCCGGAGTATGGAAACAGGGGGGAGCTTGAGGCCAAGGTTGGTGCGATTATCTCCAACCTGGATGCAGTTGTCGCAAGCATGTCGACCCTTCCTGTGTTCCATCCGCACATTCCCTCAACATATGGTATGGCCCGATCGCTTCTCAACACATACCAGTCATTGCAGATTGCCATCCGACACCGCGGCATGGGTGCGATGTCCTTTGAACAGATGGTGTTCAAGCCAGAGGACCTTGAGGTTCCGACTCCCGATGACTGGCCGGACCTTATTGCGCCTACCCCTGGAAAAGTCATTCAATCCATGCGGGTGGCCCTGGTGAACAACACGGCGGCAAGGTTGACGAGAGAGGACCTCAAGCTGCCACCGGGCTTCGCCATGCAACGACGAGTGACTGAGTTCCGTAAGCCGGAGGAAGATCCAGTGCAGAGCCTGATGGGGCTCACCGATGACTTGAGCTACGGCACTACTGGTCGATCTGGGGATGACAGATTGTCCCAGTTCCAGCGTAGTATGGCAGTACAGCTGCGGAACACTGCTGGATTCCTTGCGAGTGAGTTCCAGAAGCATGCCCGATCTATTGCCGCTTCTTCCTCGCGTCGCAGTGATGCTTCAGGTGCCCTGAGTAGCCAGGGTGATGGCGCGGCGGACAACGATCTTCCGTCCACTGAACAGGTTAGTGTTGCATCTGAGCGCGCGATTGCGCCGCCTCCGCCAAACGTGGCTCCTCCTCCTCCGCCTACTGCGGCAGCACCTCCGAGGGCGTCCGAAGAGAGTGCAAAGGAGGATGACGATGATACCAAAATGGATGATGACACGGCCGGTCAGAAACCCGAGCAGAAACCCGAGGAGGACGCAGATATGGGTAGCGGGAAGGAGCTGCAAGACGAGGTCCCCGGCAAGGCCCCGCCGCCAGCTGCCCGAACCGCTGAGAGCCCTCCGGAACACGGCCTGCGTTCCAGTCCTCCGAATGACATGGTTGCTCAGGGAGCCGCGCTCTCCGGTGCTCGAGGGCCGGATATCGACATTGACCCGGCCAGCACCACAGCCGATCAAGCGGCAAATGATCCGAGAAATTTCCGGATCGAGGGCCCTGGTATCAAGGCGACAACGATTCATCGCCCTGACCAGATGCCCGAGAGGGGTGTCGACTCTATTGCACCGATTGTGCAGTATGAAATGACGTCCGTCCCGATTGCGCTGACTGACTTCGTCGTCCCGGGACTCGACATGGGCATCGATGATTCCGTCCATGGTCGGCTGGTCTCCGCGACCTGTCTCCCACCGACTGACGAACAGCGCAAATATTCGAGGCGCCGATTCGCTATGCTGTCCTCGAATCAGACGGTGTACTTGAACGTCGCACTTCACAAGAAACCGGTGAAAGGAGATCACGATTCTTTCCTCCGACCGGAGTCTTACGAGGATTGCCGCGAGATCCATGACGCTGTCCGAGCATACAATGCTAAGGAGGCAAAGTTCCGATCCGTCGGCGGAACATCCGTGTCATGCAGCCGATTGTTGATCGATGACGCACAAAACATCCCTGCTGCCAGGATTCCGGACGCCGGAATGATCAACTTGGTGCGGAAACTGCTGTTCCGAGTGCTGACGCAAACGAAGGAGTATCCTTCCGCTACTGCCGAGAGAACGCAGAATCGCCCCCAGGATCAAGAAAGGGGCATTCCCTTGTATTCGCGCTTCGACCAGAGTGGCATTATCGCTTTCGATGTCATTCCGATGTACATGGAGCGTGAGAGGGAATACATGAAGGCCAACGCCGGAGAGAACGATGGCCGAATCCTTCTCCAGACAAATATTCTGGATGAGCGAGGCGAACCGACCGAGATCACTACCCGATGCATTATGGAGATCGCTCGGACGGACAACAACCGAATGTTTGAGTTCTTCTACTCGACGATCGACAACGATGGAAGTCCTCAATTTGTCGGCATTCGAGCCACCTACGGTTTCGGCCCTGATAACTTCAACCGATTCCGACTGCTGACCAAGTGCCAGCACGGGCCATTTATCCAGCTCGCTCAGGATCATTACGTCGCTGGCGAGAGGAAAAGAAATGTGGCCCGATACCATCCTCAGTATGGATGGGGATGCGCAACGATTCGCGAATTCTTCGGGTACATGAGCGATTGCAAGCTCAATCCTCCGAAAGGACGGCTGTTCCTCACTCTGCTCCCGTATGCTCCCGGATCTGGGAACAACAATGAGTGGGAAGAGGTGTACATGAACGTCCGAATGAACCCGGGGCGTGAGACGCTTTCGAACACCGCGTCATCACAATCCATGCTCCCTGAAGGGATGGGATCCAACCGCATGATCGTGTTTGCGATTGATTTGCACATGATTGCGGCGGGAATCAATCCGATTGCATTCCACCCGAGGGGATATTATGCGATCAAAGACAGTATCCCTCTCGCCTGTATGCCCATTGCATACTTCATGGACACGGGATCCCTCGTGTTCAACACGGCCTTCAAATATGTTGGAGGCCCAAAGTTCGGCACTGGCCCCAAGAGAGGAGACCACAAACGAGAAACGTGGCCGCTTGCTAGTTTCGACTGCCCCATGTGCGGAGCATCATTCCCGGTGGGTCTCCACATGTGTCACTCTTGCACCAAGCCGATTCATTATCCTGATGGGATGTTCTACGCCGATCCTGTAAACCCATTTCAGGTCGAGTACTATGGAAGTCATGCCGAATGGCTCAACGAGCTTACTGAGCGAAACGAGCTTAAAGAATTCCGACTTCGCGAGTACCCTGCAATCAAGCAGCTGAGGAATTTCCCGGTATCTAGGTCAATCGCTGAGGACCACAGGCAAACCGCGTTCTTCGGGGTGCCACCGATCAAATGCACTGCAGCTGATACATCGCCGAAAGAAGTGGAATTGTTCAAGAAGAGCGTGCGCGGAACGATTCAAGGCGCCATTCGATTGGACATCTCCATTGAGAGGCTTGTTGCCGGTATCACTGGCAAGGAAGCTCGGAGCGGTGTGGAAGACTTCCTCAACTCGCAGTCGATCGCCTGTGCAACCACGATAGTCAAGCACTTCGGCGCGGTCTTCGCCACATGCCGCGAGAAGCCGCTGTGCTACTATGCACGATGGTCGATCCACTGTCAGCGCGCATACCGAGTCTGCCTGTCGCGTGGCTATCTCTCCCCCTTTTACACAGGAGGAACAATCGATTATACCGTCGACTCAGACATGATCGAGAAAATTCGGCTTGCGCATCTGCCATTGCAGAACGCCAATCTGGCGATGAGAAGGCAAATTCGACTTTCCACCGAGTTTGGAACGTTGGATGAGTTCCGTGCCACTATCACGGACACGCAAAAGTATCAGCGATACATGCGTGTCGATAGTGAAAGCCTTTCCGCGCTCCTTGCCAAGGTTACCCTTACAACGTGCTACGTCATTCCGATGAAAGGTGAACCTGGCTACATCTCTGACGATGAAGCTGAGGAGATCGAAGGAACTGCGGCGGCAATTGAAAAGCCCAAAGGGAAAGGAAAAGGGGAAGAAGAAGAACCCGATGTCCAAGCCATCAATTGGCGTGATTTGGACCCTTTGGGGCGGAAGTTCATCCCGCACCATACCGATTCCCGATTCACGATTTTTGCTGATGGGAATACGGCACTCCTTGATGCCCCCGAAACGCCTGACGAGAAGCGTAAGGAATTCAAGGAGTTCATTCGCGATCACTCTGTCAAGATTAAGGAATGTTTCGATGATGATCGCGCGACTGAGAAGACGTTCTTCAATCTTGTTGAAGGCGTAAAGGATCAGCTCCCCGATACTAAGAGAACTGACCCTGTTCTTATGAAAAAGAACGAAGATGTTTTCGAGGCTCTACCCGATGAACTAGAAGAGCCTCAAGATCTGTTCGACGTCGCAGCTCAGCTGGCACGACGGCGTGCTGATGCGCCTCAGCGCAGAGTGCAGGTCACTGAGCAACGGCACGCGTCGATCCCCGAAGCTCATGCCGTCCCCGTTCCTCCGGATGACGAGGACGAGGATGATACTGAGCTCGAACGGGCGATCCGACCCGGCCCGAAGTCACAGCGCACTGGGCGAGAGCACCTCGGAGGTGTCGCTCCTGAGACGAACCCGCCTCCGCCTCGCGAGATGCCGCCTCCGTCTAATCCACCGAGTCGGAAGACGTCGAGGCAATCGGGCTACAATGTTCCCCACGCCGAAGGGGAGACACTGATGGTCTCAGGAAGGGCACCCTACTCCGATCAAAAGGGTCTACCCTTGGTACTGCGAATGAAGACCCGGGTTCCGGAGCCTGATTTGGACAACCCGACGATTGAAGATATCATTCGCATGTATCACGCACCGAACACGCTGCCTGTTGTCAGGAAGAAAGTCGCCAATGTCATCATTTCGATGAATGCAAATCCCGATGACCCTATCAATATGAAGGCGGCTGGCGTAGTTCCTCCCTCTGCCGAGGAAACAGGAGCGGGAAGAGCTGCCTCGCCTGGAGGCACTTCCGCTACTACGCAGGAACGGATTAACCCTAAGTTCCCTGCACCAAATACTCGCACCGCTTCGAACCCACCTTCGAAATCAGCCCGCGACGAGAAATGGGCTCCTTCGATTGTGCGGCCAACTCCTGGTCGGGTGATTACTTGGGGAGCCCCTGCATTTGGTTGGATTTATAAGCACTTAGCTGGACTTAGACAGCTAAGTGGGGCTAAGTCAGACTAAGTAGAACTAAGTTTTTTTAGTCGTAAAATGGAGTTTTCGGTTTCGAATCGCAAATGTCAGTATTTTTAACTTGTAACCTTGTCAACACCAACGAAACCAAGGTTCATATCTTCTTGTGTGCTGATGCCTAAGGTCTAAAGTTGCAGGCATGGCTTAGTACATCATCTTCCCCTCAAAACACAAGGTTAACTTGCGTAGTAAAGCCGACACCAGACAACACGATGCGATCCTTTTTTTCAATGTAGCAGCGTGACTTTGTCGCCAGTCGAACTGGGCAACATCCAAGACGCCATGGTTCCTTGCAACAGTTGCTCGGGCGCGAGCAGGACGCATTGCTTGCTTGGACGCCACACCGTAAAGGTATGTTCTCGGAAGGGCAGTCTGTCGTTTTCTCGTTTCAGCTCACATCCCAAAGCACTGGGGGGGTCGTCGTGTCGCTGCACAAAGCATTCAACGTTCACGGCCTTAGCCGCGGACAGGATGTAGGTTCCCGCATGCAGGATGCCGCCTTCCATCAGCAAGCTTTCGGAAGCAAGGAAGTTGTCAGTCCCCAGGATTCGCCCGACATGGGGTCGCCGAACCATAGGCATATTCAGCTTGGGTCGCTTGCTATAGGTGTCAGAAGAGTCTTTCTGCTCATCCTCGTTGAGTAGGAGCAGTACTCCTTTTTCCATTTTAGCTGGCACCGGAAACCTTGGGGCTGCTTGCTTGAAGTTTTTGTTCTTTCTTTCTGTAGACCAGCAGTCGACTGCCAGGCCCATGATAGCAACCTGCTGCGGAATATGCAAGCTGTAATGGTGTTTCGGCTTGACATACTTTGATGTGTACGTTGCTTTAAACTGAGCCAAATGCTGGCACTGTAGGCTCTGAAGCCCGCTTGTTTCTTGAAGGCTTCTGCCTGGAGTCTTTAAGCTGAAAACTTTGCAGCACACCAGACAAAGCAGTCGGAGGCTCTTGACTTCTTGGGCCAAGCTTTTGCAGTCTCCAAGCACGGTTTCTGCGAAGTATGTGAGCAAAGGCAAAGCTAAGGCGCACTGGGTAGCACCACCTTTGTAGTCTGCACCAAAGACCAGGATTCTCTCATCCAGCACCTCTTTTGCGGATCCTTTTGTCCCACATTTCCATGCCAGGGCAGCAAGGCTTTGCAGCATGGTTTTCTGGAGTCCCTGGGCAGCGGCTCTTTCCAGGAAGAGGCCAATCTCCACATTCACGATTCCGTTCGACCACAAGCAATGCATGGGATCGTAAACGCTGTCAATGACATTGACCAGAGTTCCTGGACAGGAGCTGAGGCTTCTTGGTATGAGGTACCAGCCCAATAGCTTGCAGTCTTTCTCATACTCTGAGATGCTGGAAGCAGCTCGCAGATGCTGCATGATCGCATCCAACTTTTCTTGCCGCATAGGCAAGAATTTCGATATGTCCGGCTCATCTATGCAGACCAAGGACACGGCACGCCGATGCTGCTTGGACACTGCGTTTTGGCACTTAAGGCACGGACGCATGCCGCTGGCGCCCTTGCTGCCAGCCGTAGCCTTCAGCGCAGCTTCGTCTCCCAGCAGGTAGATTTTCCTTGCTCTCAGAAGAAAAGGAACACGGCAGGAGTCCTCTAAAGGCACTCCAACCACGCATTCTTCTAAGAACAAGGCCAGGGCTTGCATGTAAGAAGCCAGCCCACCACTGATTTGGTCTATGGTTTTGTGCCGCACAAAACCAACGGTAATCCAAGAGCTGCCTCGAGCAAGGCCTAGCCCTAAAGCTGTCCAGGAAAAGTGTGCCAAATATCCTTTTCGGTTCTGGTCAGGTCGTAGTACATTTCCGGGGACGGCCTCGTCTACGTACAGAATGCCATCAAGCCCTTCCACAGCTTCTTTTCGCATGTGGTGGCCCAGCACGTCGGCAAGGCCTGGTAGCTTCTGGCATCTGGCCTGAAGGGCTTTGTCCAGTCTGAGGACCGGGAGTTGCAGGATATGGTCTGTGCCAGCTTCCCGAACCGCGATGCTACTCAGCAGCGGATATGTCTCTGGGTATCGATTTGCGTCCTTGTGTGCTGGGGCTGTTTCATGCTTATCTTTCTTAATCACGCGGGCAGCCTCTTTCTGGCTTACGCCTCTAGCGCAGCTCAGAACATCTCGCACGCTTTGGTTGCTTTCATCTGCCTTTCTTTTCTTTGGCGCCATAGCGAAGGCTTCGAGCAGGGAAAACGACCTAAACTGTGACTGCGGGGTTTAAGCTCAATGTGCTCAAGGGCTTGGAACCAAAGGAGCAAACCTGGTAACCCAAACCATTAATTATGAGGACCAGTATACATGTATTGGTTCTGGGGACACAGGTTTATGTATTTTTCGGTGCTTGCTCCGGGTTGAGGCTTCAAGTTCAGATACCCGAGTTTAAAGCTTAGGTTAGTGCAGTTTGCTTGAACCATGACGTTACTGCGGTCGTCCCTGGCAGAGACGAATCCCTTCCTGAAAACAAGCAGCTGTAGAGAATCACTGCCACTGTGGATCTGTTTTCTGCGGCCGAAGGCTGTGTCTTGGCCTTGTGACTTGTCAGGCGGCTTCGGGTTCTATGCCTGCTGTCTGCACAGCTCCTGTCGTTGCGTATGGCAGCACTGCCTGCAAGTCTGCTTGTTTTAGAGAAACTTTGGCGTGGACAGCCTCAGCCAGCCCTCCTCGGGAGCTCACCTTCCTCCTCCGGGCTGCCATCGTTCTCCGACTCATAGACAGCTTCAATCTCGAAGAGAAACCAGCGAAGCTCTTATTCAACCACCAGTGTGCAGCCTGCAATGCAGATCTGTCACTTGGTGAGAGGCATGCCCACAGAGCTGCGGCTGCCTGCGGCTCGCTTGCAACTAGGAAGAGATCTCTACAGTATCGACCTTCAGCCTCCTCTGCCATCATGATTTCTGTAACTCTTGAACCAAAAACCTCCGTGCCGCCATGACAGGAAGTTGCTGCAGAGAATGCCTGGGCCAAGGTCTGCTTTCTTTTCCCCATCCCCGCTTCTGCGTTCCGGATGTCTACAACATGCAAAGCATCGAAATTAATCCTAATTGCTGCAAACATCCGATGCTTTTCAAGCAGGCTTCTTTACAGTCACGTTCGGATGTTGAGAGACCACTCCTCAGCACCCATCTTTATCAGTTCTAGAGGAGTTGAGTGCAAGAGGCTAGGCCGTCCGAGGTTTAGGAGAATGTCCTAAAGCTTCAAGTCTATATAGCTTGGTTATTATGAAAGAAAAATCAGTTAGAAGCTACCCTACTATAAAAAATGAAGAGATGTCAGGGGCTGAGTTATAGAAGTTACCTTACTATAAAAAGTGAAGATATTGAAACGGTTTAGGGCCAGTTTAGGGTTGTGTCTATAGGGTTTAGGCTTTAGGGTTTAGGGTTCACAGGCATGTTCCTATACTAAAGTGTTTTCTTATGTGTTTTTATACATTTACAGATACATCCAGGATGCTGCAGGATCTACCACGTTGCCGTGTCGCTTGACACGTTTGGGATGCAACCACATGCACGAATTATAGTGTACGGCTTCCGGCTCTACTGTCCCTTGGCTCTCCTTCGCTTGGAAGGCCCCTTGGCCTCGGCGCCTGCGCCCTTTGTGCCCTCCTCAGCTGCACGCTTAGCGGCGCTCCTGGCTTCACGCTTGCTTCTTGCAGCCTCCGACTTGCACACCTTCACCTGCTTCACAACTTCGTTCGCAGCCTTGCAGGTGGGCTTCCACTCTTCCTTGCCGAAGGGCAGGGTCTCCAGAAGCTCTGTGCAGTTTTCTTTCTTGGCTAAGGTCGCCTCACAGGCCGCCTTCCAGTCCCCAAGCTTCTTCAAGAACTCGGGCACCTGTTGCCTGGTGGCGTCGTCCAAGCTTTCTGGCGTGCCCTTGACAGTCACGGAGGTCAAGGAGCACCACGTTGCACTGAGCAGAGGCAGGGCTTGGTTTGCCAGGCTCAGCGTAAACTTGTTCTGGCGCGCGTTGTTGGGCTCTTTCTCCTTCTCCTGCTTACTCGGCTGCCCAGGCACAACGTCCCATTCCTTCGGAACCTTGTTCTTTTTCCCCTGCGCGATCGTTTTCACGCGCGTGAGCACTTCCTCTCGCACTGTGCGCTCGACTTCGAAGTTGTGCACCGAGTGTACCGACAAGCGGTACGTCGTACCTCCTAGCTTCTCGTTTTCTTCCGTGTCGCTGCAGTTGTCCAGGACGTCTTGCGTCCAGCCTTGCGAGAGGAGCACGCTGGCAGGGAGGTAGCTGCCGCCCGTTTCGGAGCGTGTCTCCGAAACACGCTGACGCGTCAGGGCCTCGGTGAAGTTGCTTTGGACTGTGGCCCAGTCCTTGCAGCCGTTCGACTGACTGAAGAAGCGCGTGCGCTCCGTTTCGTCGAGCTTTGCAAAGGACTCCCAGGCCCCTAGGTGACGCCAGAGTCGGAGACTCAAGCTTTTGCACTGTCCGCACTGCTTCTTGGACCAGCGACCGCAAAGCTCCTCCGTCTTAAACTCTTCGCCGCAGTCGTGGCACTTGCCTTTTGCTGGCAGCTGTTCCTGAGGCACTTGCACCTCCAGGTTCTCTGCCATCCTAGCTTAGTAGGACGGGGGTGGGCTCTAGCTGCTTTGTAAACAGTGTCTGCTGCGAGCCAGAAGCTGCGGAAACGAAGCGGTCAATTAACCAGGAATGCATTCCATTCTCCTGGATTTCTGATGTAAGCCTAGTGTGCTTTGACTGTCTTCAGAGACCTTCAGTAGATTCTGGACTTGCCAGTAACTAAGGCGCAGCGGTCTAGTATTGGCCCTGCAATCCCAGCTTAAGAGGCCAGTACCACCTTCACTCCACCTTCGCTCCACCTTCGCTCTAGCCCAGTCGAGAGGGAGCTTACCACCTTCACCACCTTCGCTATCCCGGCCTAGCTAAGCTAAGATTAGGTAGTCCACCTTCGCCACCTTCGCCATAAGTTTAAGGAGAAGGGGACCACCTTCACCACCTTCGCTGACAATTCGCAGGCCCGGGTACCACCTTCACCACCTTCACCTTCACTACAAGATCTGAGTCCCAGCATACCACCTTCACTCCACCTTCGCTCCACCTTCAACCTAAAGCCAACAGTTTTCCTCCACACTGCACTGCTCAGGTGGCCTCTGCGAGCAGTTTGTTCTATCCGGTCTTGCTGCTGGCACAGCTCGCACTTTGAAGGCCCATACCAAGCGCTCGCAGCTTCAAGGGGACTGTGTCCGTGCTTGCGGGTGCTGGTGCAAGATGTGGTTTTCGAACCAGCGATAGCAAGGGAAAGCATCGCTGCCTAGGAAGCACTGGGTGCTCGCCAGCAGTTCCATTGACAAAGATATGTCACTGTCCTCTGCATCCGTCGGAATGCAGAGATCCAGGTAGGGCTCCAGCTCGTCGGCTGGTGGGCCCTGCAGGCATCTGGTTGCATCCACTCCTTGCACCAAGTACTCTAAGGCTGTCACCGTGGTAGACATCCAAACCAAGTGCCGCTTGTGGCTCTCTTTCTTCTGTGCTGTCGCATAGCAGTCAAGCACGCACTGCAGTGCTGCGAGCTGCATGGTGGCATCTTGCTCGGATATGCGACAGCGTTCTAAAGGTTGCAGCATGTCATAAATAATTTTGCTTGTTTGCGTTCCCGCAGGGAGCACGAAGTTCTTAGGCGGCATGCTGTACCGCCGCAAGCTATGTAGCGCAGGCGAGGTTTCTTGAGCTTTAATAAACAAAGCGCTGCGCTTGCGGCCCTCTGTCTCATGCCTGAAACAATCCGGCTCATGGAACCTAACTGGAACATCCTGTCACAAGGACAAAATAGAAACTGTCTCACGTCATCAGAGATAAAGGTTTTCTAGGGTTGAGGGTTGGGGGTTTAGGAACTACTTAGAACTGAGCGACTGCGGTTACGGCTTCAGGATATGGTCTTGCGCTGTTACATGAAGAGAAGCACACATGTTCACACCGGGTTTAGGGTTTACGGTTTAGGGTTTATAGGGTTTAGGGTTTAGGGTCGTACGGGGTTTAAGTAAATTATAGTAAACTGATTGACAGGGGCCGTTTAGGGTTTAGGGTGTTTTCTTACTCATGAGGATTACGGCCTGGAGCCCAGGAAATCTTCTAACTTGGGGAGTGAAGAGAAGCTTTCTGCGGCACGCTCTCTTTTTTTTTACACGCGAGCCAAGGGTCCCAGTACTAGCAGCAGGGGCGTGGCAACTGCTGTGGCGGCGTCGCCTGCGCCCCTGAGGCCCTGCAGCATGCAGCGCTTGGCTGCTGTGCTGGCAGGCAAGAGCGTCATCTGTGGAGGATGGCCCTGAGAGTCGTTTCCCACATACACGTGATGAGCTTCTGCTTCGCAGCATCATCCTCTGGGTCCGGAGGATCTCTTGGATCCCTGTGCTGTGCTGGCCTCGGCGGTGACGGGCTTGGGGACTTTCTTCTCTTCTTGCCCTGGGTCTTCTCCTTTTTACCTTTTTCTGCAGGCTTCCTCGTCTTCTGGGCTCTGTCGTCGTCTTCCTGCTCGTGCTTGACGCTTGCTGCAGGCCTGCCTTTGCCTTCCTTGAAAGGATTGCCCGGAGCGCGTTTGCGCTGTGGACTGTGGCCTTGGCCTCCTGAGGCTAGGTCCTCAAGCAAGCTTTCACAGTCGCTCTCGGAGACCTCGCCTCTCTGCCATGCCGCATGGCGTTGAGCCGCCAAGTGGTCACAGTCCCGCCACGAACGGCCGCCTCTGGCAAAGAGGCGCCAAGCGAGGCACCGCTGACTGCGCCGGTGCTGGGACAAGCTCGCAGCTGTCGCAGCCACGTGCTTCCAGCAGACGTTGCAGCGGACCGTAGTTCCACGCTGCGCGCCTCGGCCTGGACGGCTGCGCCTCTCCTGGCTTGCTGCCTTCGCCTGCGCAGGGCCGCGCTCCGGCGTCTGGGGTCTCTGGCTGCCCCTGTCGGGCATGCAGAGTCTACTCTTTCGGTCCTTCTCTGCACGCCTCTCCGCCGTGCCGTGCTCCGGCTTGCGGGGCCTCCTAGCTTTCTCCGGCGTGCGGGCCCTCCTGCGGTCCCGGCTTTTCTTCCTGCTTTTGCTGCGGTCCCGGCTTTTGTCCTTGCGTTTGCGGTGGTGTCGGTCTCTGGACCTGGACTCTTTCCCCCACTGGCGCAGCAGTTGCTCCCGGAGGTGTGCCGCGTGGTCGGCTGTCTCTCCCGAGCCTTTGGGCTTTTCCTCCGGTGCTGCTGCTGGTCCTGCTGGTGCTGCAGGTTCCACCGCTTTGGCCAGCAAGGAGGGGTCGGGCACTGTTTTGTCCGACTCCCCCGCCTCGGACTCGCTGCTCTCGCTCTCCGCTTGGGCCGTAGCCGCAGGCTTACTTTTCTCTTTCTCTGCGTCCTCCGGCGGCATGGCCAGCTGCCTGCACAGGGTTCATACTCAAAAGCTGAAGGTTTAATAGGGTTTAGGTTGAGAGTTGATTTTGGGGTTTAGGGTTTAGGGTAATGTAGAAATGTCTATTGGAGGGACCCCGAACCGAAAGGCTTGCAGCGATTACAGACCGGACGCGTGAGGGAGAGAGAGTGAGACGGAGTGTGCGTGTTGCCTGGCACGTTGGTCGTTTGGTTTCGTCGTCCTTCTGCGTCTTCGCGGCGCATCGTCGTCTGCTCCGTCGTATCCTATATATATATATATATATATATATGTATAACTGGATTTTCTTATCAAATTTTCTGAATCTATATAGCTGCTGCGCAATCACTGCACACCAAGAAACTCGTCTCTCCGCACAGCGGCCGTAGCCGGCACGTGCGGAGCGCCCTCGCCTGCCGTAGCTGGGCGCGCCAGGAATCGTGCGGCGGCCGTAGCCAACTCGCACATCACCCTGCAGGCCTTATAGCCTGACAGAGAAACTTTAGGCACGGCGGCCGTAGCCTGCGCGACCTTCTCTGCATCGACCGTAGCCGGCTGCAGATCCCTGACACACAGCGGCCTTGGCCAGCACATGTGACCGGAGACTCTGATTGGAAAAAGATACCTGTACATATGTGTCCGTATACATGTCTACGTTTCGTAGTGGTTGAAGATATATGGGGTTTAAGGCTTTTTTTTATAATACGGCTTCTTAGACTGGAAGACAGCAGCAAATGTTTCCTAGCATCGACACGAAGAGTTTTGCCGCCCAAGCCCTGCCTTGCCTGCACCCAGAGCTTTAGGCCGGCCATGCGGTAGCGAGCCAAAGGACTGCGAGGCGGGAACGCATTTATTCACAAAGCAAACAAGGCGGTGCACACTGGAGCTGAGGGACATGCATGCGATTGGCTGCAAAACCTGAGGTACCCTGGCTCTTTTGTGTTGCTGTGCTCAAAGCATCTCCAACAGAAACCCTGTCGTCGCCCAATACAGCATTGCCTCTATGTGCTTTTCAAACACAGTTTCAGATAGGATCTAACCTTGAAGCCTGCAAAGCTTCAGATAATCGACATCAAATCTCGAAGCCGCGATACCGCCAACAGCAAGGAGTGCAGCCGGCTCTCCAGCGACACTTGCTGCAGCCACTACGGTACTTCTCAAGCAGCTCCCGGGGGATTCCTTGGGAAAGCCGCCAGGCACGTTCTTCCGAAGATCCTGGCCTAAACTTCTCAGTGGAGGAAGCCCCCTCGCCGGGAGCTGCAGCTGTGCCAGGCGGCACGTGAGCCTTGCTCCCCGGTGCAGGACAACCAGGCTGGCTCTTCACACTTGCTGCAGCCGGCTTCTTCTTCGGCCGTGCTGCAGCAGGACAAGCAGCCGGCCGCTTGCAAACACCCTTCTCGGGCTGACCCAGTTCCTCCCGAAGCTTCTGCAACTCCCTGGGCACGTCGCTAGACGTCTCTGCTCCGGCTTCTGCTTTCGCAGCCGGAAGCACCGACTTGTCCGCTGCAGCTGGCGCCGTGCTTGCAGAAACTGCAGTCATAGCCGGCGTTTCCCTATCTTTGTCCATCAAAGCCAGCATTTGCGGCTGCTGCCGAACTGCCGGTGCCGCAGCAGCCGGAGGCTGCGACTGCAGACTTGCGACGAGCTGAGCGGCTTGCACGGCCTGCAGAAAGCTGGAGTCTGCAGCCAGGTTGCTGCTGCTGCTTCTTTGCAAGGCAGCCTGCACGCGGACGTCGGACTTGCGAAGAGGGACCTTCAGCGAGGCAAAGTCCAGCCTCTCACGTGCGATCTTGCAAACAACAGGAACTTCCTGCTCAAAGCACAGGTGCCGAATCTGCTCTGGCAGCTTCTGGTAACTTTCAGGTAAATTCCAGAGCATCACAGGTGGATCCCCGCCCTTGCCCAAGATCTTGCGTGCGCTGGGCTTCATTTTCTGAAGCTCTTGGTAGCAGGCTAAGGGTTCCGGAAGGGTCAGCCCCAGCAACAGGTACAGGAAGGTCATGATGGCACCCCAAGTTGGCTCCGACGGTGTCCGCAGACCCAGTCTACCCAGGACGGGGTACAAGACTGCCTGAGCTTCCTCCATGGCTGTGCTTGCTTGCAGCTGCAACCATTGTCGCTCTGTCAAAAAGTCCGTGAAGCGCGTGAAGTCTTGTCCCAGCCGTTTCGGCTCAAGCTCGCTGCTTGTGCTCTCTGAAAC